GTAACTCCATGCCTAGTAAAGATGCCTTTAAAATGATCCACAAAAGTTTGTGCTATATCCTCCTCCCTAGTCAAAATTTGCCCATTCTACACTAGTTGAGAAATAGAATTTCTTCTTTTTCTCCCATTTGCTACTAAGTGGAAAAAAACTTGTATTGCCATCACCTTCCTTTAACCACCAACATCTAGTTTTCTGTCTCCAACAAATCTCCTCTTTCCTCAAAATCTCTTCCAGCTCATGCTTTAGTCTCCATCTCTTAAATTTCTCTTCCTCTCTTATTGTACTTTCCCCTTCCAGCTCATCTAATTCCCCTATTCTATGTGAGATGTGCGTCTTTCTTTCCTCTAATGACCCAAATACTTCCTTATTCCACTCTTTAATCATGCTCTTCAACTTTTGCAGTTCTAGGCAAGGCCTTAACCGCTAGGCTCCGCCACCCTTCCTCCCAGTCTAAAGTAAAGAGAAATCTGTCTAAGTTGCAAAAAATAGGTGTCTCTTGAAAATTGGACCATATGAACTTTGCTTGAAGAAGGGGCTTAGATCATTTGTATCTACAAAAGGGTTAAATTTTCTCATACTGGAAGTAATCATATGGCTAGGGTTATTTGATTCCTGAAGGAACCTGATCACATTGAAGTCACCCCCCAAGCACCATGGGCCCTCCCACAGACCCATGATTGCTACCAGTTCTTCCCAAAAATCTTCTCTCCCTATAGGAATTTGGCCCATAAACATTGGTTAGAATCCAAACAAAGCCATCTGTCTTTCTCTTTAGCTTGATTGAGATTGGAAAGTTTATTATCAGTTCTTCCATGCGCTCAACATTATCATTCTTCCATATAGTAATGATTCTTCTAGAAGATCCCCAAGATTGTAAGAAGGCCCAGCTGATTCCCCTAGCAGTCCAAATTTGTCTTATCCACTTCCATCAATTTGGACTCTTGAGTTAACACAAAGTTTGGATTCTCCTTTCTTAACATTTCTCTTATTGCTCTTCTCTTAGTTGCTCTTCCCAGACCTCTTACATTCCAGCTTAATATCTTCATGCAGAAAAAATAAGCTAACTTTTGTCCCCTTTCCTGAACACACCCTCAGCTTCACCTTTTCCTATCTTTTCTCCTAGTGCTCCCTTTATCATACACCACATCACAACGCAACCTCTCCACCTCAGTTAACTTATTCTTCCCTTTCTTGTTTGAACCTCCTTTAACCTTACTTAGAACCTTTTGTTCACTCAATTTTTCCTTCTCACCCTTTTTTTACCCTTACCTCTACTGTTACTTTTTCTTAACCCTTTATTCTTTGTAATCAAAGCCTCAAACTCTTTCCACACCTCTTCTGCCCTAGATTGAGGATTGTCACCCTCCCCACCCTTTCTCCTCTCGTTTTCTAGTTCATCCTTCACTAAGATCATAAAAATCTCCAAGATCATCTCCCAGATTCTATCACCTTCCTCCTCATCAGCTGTCGACATCTTATCACTACCCACCACTTCTATCGAAACACTAGCAGTGGCAGACTTGGGTGTTGGGCTGGTCTCACCTGTGTGCAAAGGACTAGAAGATAAATTACTACCCACATAAACCAAAGGAGACATCATACCTTGTAACTGTGAGGGAGACGCACTACGATTTGAAAGGTTCTGGTTTCTAGAAATTAGCCTTTTGTCAGGGGTAACGATTTTTTTATCAATACTTGGATAAGAAAACGGGGATAAGGAGTCTGTCATTGCCTTGCCGAGAGCCAGTGGAAGTGTTTTACTACATCTCGTTTCTTCTTGTTCTTGATCCTGTGCGTTGCCTAGTTCTCTGTCCCTTTTTGACGAAGTTGCCCTTTCATCCGAAGGATTTATCTTTTCCACCGTCGTTGCCCCTACTTTCAATCCAATACTTGCTCTCTTCAAATAGTAACGCTAGACTGTTCGCCTCCACTGAATCAACCAAAGCTTTTGTTTTGCTTTCCACACTTCCTAGACTAGGGAAAACTGTGAAGACTTCCTCATTTGTATTCTCATCATCGATGCTAACCCAATCTGAGTCAAAGACATCATCCTTACCCCTTTGTCGATCGTACCTTGGGTTTGGTTTCTCTAGGCTAATAGAAAAGGACACCAACCTAGGTTTCCATGTCCAAATTCCTCCCGCAGTCTTCCGAACTTTCTGTTTTTCAGTTTGGTTGGGCTTGGGTTGGGACGATGATACATTGTAAGAACCATCTGGTGTCATTCAAATCCTATCTCCTATCACATGACTTTTTAGACAATCACATGACCTACCTTTTGGTCTAGTTCTGTTTGCTGGCCCATCTAGATTAGGCCCATTTATTTTCGGCCTTAAGTCAAGGCTTTCTTTACTAGACCCCACGTGCCTATTTCAGCCCATCAGTTTGCACTCCTTTTTTTCTAAATATGTTTGCTAGCCCATCTGGAGTAGGCCCATTTACTTTCGGCCTTAAGTTGTGGCTTACTTTACCCGACCCCACGTGCCCACTTAGAGGCCCACGTGTCTGTTTCAGCTCATCTGTTTGCACCCATTTTTCTCTAGTTGCCCCCTTCGAAACACACATTCCTTCAAATAAGTTTGATTTATTTGACCCATTCAACTTGTTCAGTTTGGCGCCAGAAGATAATGCTTGAATAAAAGTTCTATTGGCTGTCACACCTTTGCCTTGTTCCTCACGTCTTATACCATTCTCCTGACCTAGAACCTTTAGGCTGCTTAAAAGTTGTCTTTCCATTTTGGTGAAAGTTTCCATCTACTTTTGTTTGTCCATCCCCAGATTGCCATGTAGCACCAACCCTTCAACCCTTTTGTCTTCCTCTTGTCTAGCCTCCCTCCACAAGGCAGCTTTAATGGAGGTTGCTAACCACACTAGTAGTAATACTCCTCCCACTCCAATGGTCACCTTCCTTGGTATCTCTTCTGGTTTTACTCCACTCAGAAGAAGAACTGCACTACGTAGATCTCCCCAGAAAACACCATCTAGTCGAGCACCACACAGCAGAGCAATCGAGTTTGCAATCTCCTGATTCCACAGATGGAATGGCAACCCAATTAACCGAACAATCACATTATCTTCAATTGAGAGGAACTTGGAATTGGAGCATGGAGACCATTTAAAAATTGAAAAGGTTCCCAAAACATCCTGAATACATAAGCTTCAATATTTACCTGATTTTCAAGAGGGTCCAGCACTGCCTTCTCTTGYTCAAATGTAGTTAAAATAAAAGTCTTCTCCAAGCACAGCTTAACCTTCAGGAGTTCTGCAACTTTCCTCCAGTCTAATACCCTCTTCTCAGCTTTTAAGATTAGCATGTTGTCCCAAAGCCCTGACTTCCTGTCTGCTACCAAGGAAGGATTGCTACTGCTATGTACCAATGCAAGGAGCTCCTTTTTTGGTTCCTCTTGCACAGGTGGGCAAGGAGTGCTAGCATACAAACTCTGGCCATTGTCCCCTTTCTCCATCATCTCTATTTTTTCCATTTTCCTTTTGTCTAAGAAGTTTGATAAAATATTAGCCACTCCCTCTCACCCTTGGCAGTTCTTCCTTCAAGAAAACAGACCATTTGCCTCCTTCCTTTAGCGAAATATTCAGAAAGAGGTATGAAGGATCCCTTTACATTCCTCTTACTTTGCATTATGTACCTTCCACCCATCTGGGATAACTTTTCTTTCCATATACACTGCTTCCTTTTAGTTGCTGCATCAGAAAGGAACTCTTTCAGCCAGTCAATCAGCTCAGTTCCTTCCACAAGCACCGTAGCCATTTTCTGTTCCCTTATCTTTAGGCTAAGTCTTCCTTTAATCCACATTTCTTCAAAAAGAAAGTCTTTAGCCTCTACCTTCAAAGCTGTTTTCCATTTTGTTTTCCCCACAAATCTTTCTCCATCATCGCCCTCTACCTTCACTTGGGTTGAACAATTGAACTGATATTCTCTTTTGGGAAAACATGCAGCCTAATAGAAAACCTTTAGGTTTCAGATTAATGATTGTTTAGCCCATTGTATCATAAATAGCTGGGTTTTGTAGTTCACCTGGGTGGTGGGCATATCATGGTTCACCTGGGTTGAACAATCAGATTTACTATGGTTGAATTCATGTTGTGTATTGCACAATTGTATCACATTGATGGCTGAATCTAGGTTTTGTAAGTAAACATGACAAAACAAACTCGTGTTTGTGTAAGAAGCCTAATTGGGTATAACTGCTCCTGTAGATAAATATAGGTTCAGATTTTCAAAATAAGGACTCATCTATTAACATAAAGGGCAAAATAGAATTTTTTAAAATTTTCTTACAAGTTTATATTTAACATTTACTAATGGAGGGCATATTTTAAGTCAATTTTTTAAAACTTGAGGCATGTTTAAGAGGAAAATGAGTGTTTGTTTTCTTTTATCTCTTTTCTTTTAAACAAGAATCTTACAACTTTTTATTTTCCAATGATACCCCCAAAATACAAACAAAAATTTTCATACATAGAATTAAAATAAATATTTAACAATTTTTAAAATTCATTATTTAAAATTCAAAACACATTCTCTACATTTACGAAAAAAAAAGGTTCACCAATATCAATATACCTCTTTATTCTTAATGTAATTATTGCAATTTCAGCAACAGAACAAACTAACAGACCCCAATCTTTTACCCTTTTTATTATTTTTTGACCTATCACGTCATAAACTAGAGGTTAAAAAAAAAAGAAAATCTTTATATTAGGCGTATATGAGGCCCTTGGATAAGATACTATAGGCTCCATATTTTGGACCTTTGGAGCGCATCACTCCACCCAATAGTAACTGCAGCACCGAGTCAGCGGATGTGGCAGCATCACAGCCAATACTCGTCCAAGCAATTTGTATCTTGAGTCTTAATAATTTAATGGATTTGAGCTGGCTTTCAGATTTAACTTCAACCCCTTACATCTGCATGTCTTTTTTTTCCTTCATCCCTACATCTGCATACCAACATCACCAAGTGCCAACCCCAAATAACCAGTAAGAACAATCCAATATCGTCACCCCATTGACATTTATAAAGACATCATCGTCAAAACAAAGACAAACATCTTCACAAGAAACTTCCAATTTTCAAATACAACGGCACGACATGCAAACAGAGATGGGATTCATGGAGAATTTATAAACCCTCTCTAAATATCAACACCACCCTACAATGATTCATACAGGTAATAATAATACAAAATGGACAATCATTTACAGATTCCTGAAAATCACCAAAATACTCGACGAAACTGCCTAAGATAGTTCTCCCACGAGATAATAGAGGATATACTTTAGTTTATCAGCTGCCAATATTCTGTCATAAAAGAAAAGAGGATCTAATTAGAACGCTAGATTTAGCCATCATTTCAACAAAACATCAAGAAATTGATAAACGGTAGTATTATTCAATTCAATCCACTCACGAAAGCAGCAGCTTGTTCCATGTATAAACTATGGATTATTTCAAACAATATCTCCTTTTTAGTTCCGTTTCAACTTTCAACTATCTTGATCCAATACATATTAGCTATTGAATGATCTCAAGTACAATAATACCTTGGTTGCTGCACTTAAAATAAATTGAGCATCAAGCATGTTTTCTTCTCTATGGCATGGCATTTATGTTTAACAGTCAACTATCTATGGTTCTCTCATACTGAAATCATTTGCAAAGTGCACAGAATTTTGTATACCAAGTTGCAATCATCTACAACAGTATTCTATGGATCTTGCGTTTATTATGAATCAAGGAAAAGGACGACCAATATAAATTTACCCCAAGGTTAACCTGCATACGTACTATGTATAACAAATTCTACAATATTAACAAAAAGTAAGATGATAATGATTTGTTTTTAAATATAAATAAGTTAGACAGCTAGTAAGATATGAATGCAGCAGAAATTACCCTATCTCACTGCCTTGCTAATTCTTGACTGTCTTCAAAGACCACTTCTTCCCATGGCTATTTCTGAACTTTTGACCGACGAGATGACACAGCATTTCCTACCTGTGGAGAATTTGCATATCCTGTTCCCCTACCTTGGACATCATCCAGGTTCACGGACTTGTTCAGCGAACAAGTCAGTTTGGCATGTTCTATGTAGTTATGACTGACTTTGTTCTCAATAATACCTTCTGGGATTTTACAATTTTTATCCACAAAGCTACTGGTCTCTTCAGCATCTCCAGCAATCTCAAAGTCAGGTCCATCCCCAGGTGAGTACTGTTGAGTCGAAACCATACTGGCAAAAAAATGCACAAAGATAATTTCATAAAGGGCACTTTATAATTAGTTGATTACATCAATAAACTATAATTCTTGACCAAGAAAAAATGGAATCTATTAATAGGATGATACTAAAAGAATCCATACCAGTTGTTGACAGATCCTTCTTTTGGTGTTTCAGACACATTTTTGCGTTGCCTCTTTTTCTTGTTACTCAGACTTTGCTCTGACTGCACATCAGCATGGTTATTGTTAGAAGTGTTTTTAAGTCTTTTCCTTCCAGCCAGAAGTCCTTTYTCAGAAGATGAATAAACAGACTTTTCAGTTGCATCTGATTTAGGTTCAGGTTCCAAATCCAAACTATGTCGATCTTCTAAATTTTCAGTTGCAGGTACTTCAAGTATTATTTTGGGCTCTTCAAAAACAGATTTTTCAGGCTGTGTCTCAGTGAAAGCTTTCACTGCCCCATCATTTTCATTGCACCTCTGCCTCTCAAATGTGCCGGATGTATTACCAACATTTTCCAACAATACTGACTCACATTTTCTGGAGTTTTGAGAATCCTTGCTCTCTGATAAATTAACATTTGCACTTTCAAATTCAAGCCTTTCTCCATACTTAATCAGTTTTTCAGGAGAATGTTTAAATATCAACTCAGCACATCGTTTGATCCATGAGAAAGGGGTAGAGCTAGGAGGTGAAGCACCACCTGGCCCCTGCTTAGAATCCAAATGCAACCCATCATGGGCAGTCCCTTCATATGGATGTGAATCTAGATTAGAGTCTTTTAAAGCTTTTTCAAGATTTGGTAATTTTTTGGCAGCACCTTTTGCTCTGCCAGGCTTCAGATCTCCTTGCATCTCAGATAGGACAATATTTTCTGAGACAATTTTCAAATCCTCCAATTTTTTGAGATGCTCTATCTGAGCATCAATTTCCTCTCTATCTGCACGCAATAATTCTCTCTGTCTCTTCAGTTTCTCCCTTTGGATCTGCAGTTCTTCAATAGAGTTCCTTAGCTCAGCCCACTCATTTTCCCTACGATCACGATCCATGTTGATTTCTATTCTCTCAGCATCTAATCTTTTCATTTCCAACGCAACATTTTCCATTTCTTTTGCAATTTTCTCTTGTAGAAAACTGATACGCTGAAGTTCTTTGGTTTTCTCTTGCTCAAAGGCTTCCTCCTTCTCCCTCAAATAACTTTCTATTTCTTCCCGCCTCTTATCAATGCATCTATCCAACTCCTTCTTCTGCATCTCAATGTCAAGCATAAAATCTGCCCGTTCTTGCTGAATCTTGCTAAACCATTCAGAATGTTCATGCTCCATCTTACTAATGAAGGCCTCTCTCTCATGAGAAAGAGATTCAGCATCATGCTTTAATTGATCCCGCAGCACATCCTTCTCTAATTTTAGGCTATCACGTTCATCTTTAAGGAACTTCAAGACTGTTTTTCTCTCCTCAGCAACACGTTCTGCTTCTCTTTGAAGCTCTTCTCTTTTCTCATCAATCAGCTCCCACTCAGTTTCAAACTTTGCTTTCTCTGCTTTCAATTGATCAGATTCAGCTACAAGTTGCAGCTTTTCAGTCCTAATACTAACAATTTCTTCTGTAAGTTTCATCTCCAGAACCAATAACTCTTCTCTTTCAGTTTTCATAGCCGCCAGTTTCTCCTCTTCTTCATGAACTCGTTTCCTCTTGTTTTCCAGTGCATCCATAGATTTATTAATGTCTAGCTTCATGTTGTTGATCTCTTCTCTCTCTTTCTGTAAATGAATCTTCTCCAAATCTGCCTCTTTTTCAGAAGCAATGAGACTTTTCTCCTTCTCCTCGAGTAACTTCAACTTCTCTTTTGTTTCTCTCTCCTTTTCCAACAGTGCTCTTGACAGAGCCTCAAGGTCTTGCTCCTTTTCCTGGAGCAGTTCCTCTCTGTGATTAAGATCAACCTCCCTCAATTCATAAGCCCGTCTTTTGTTCTCCATCTCTTCTTCCAGTAACTTGCGCTTCACTTCCAGCTCTGCTTCAAATTCAGATTTCCTCTTCTCTAGAACTGATTCATGTTCCGCATTAAGTCTTTGAATCTCATCCTGCATAGTATGTCAAGTATACAAGAGTTATAAATACTTAAAATATTATCTGTATGGTGATGTTTAAGAGTTTGTCTAAATACCACCCAAAATAGTAATACGTTAAAGTAGTGATCCAGCAAAACCTCCTAAGTTTTAATAGAGAAAAAAACAAAATGTAAGGTTTGTCTACTATCCATGTATTAGAAGCATAATTGCAAATTGCAAATTGCAAATTGCAAATAATAATAATAATAATAATAATAATAATAATAATAATAATAAAAAAATAAAATACATGTTCTTTGCTTGCAATCTTCTCCTGTAGAACAAGTAGCTCCTGCTCTTTCTTAGCAAGTAGCATTTCCCTTTGAATAACAGCCTGTAGGCATCAACATACAAACCATGTAAATAAATCTATGTAGACAAAAAAAAATAGCAGTAAAATAAAATGATGCATGAAAGACTAATGAATATAAATAGATGCACCTCCTCTCTTGTAGAAAGGGCAACCACTTTCAGATCCAAATTGGATTTTTCCTCATTCAGAGAAACAGATTGCTTCTCAATCATTTCTTTCGAGGCCTCCAACTCTTTCTCAAGTTGATTCAACTCTTGAACCCTTCCAAAGATATAGTCTTCCCTTTGGTTTAGCAAGGTCTGACCATCAAGTAGCCTTTCTTGTCCCTGCTGCAGAATCTTCTGTCCTTCGTGTACAGCTTGCCTTTCAAGGTTGATTTCCTTCTCCTTAGCTTCACAACTGGCATATGTGATAATTCATATTAAAAAAATGCCTTCAGATATCCCATGACTGATAATAAACAAATTCTGTGAAATTATATCTTGGTCATTAAAGAAAAGTTGACTAAGAAGCTTAAAATCACTAAGTTTCTAGGGCTGTCAATTGACTCCAAAAGTCTGACACTCGATTTGACATCCGATCCAACTATCCCAGATTTGGATGTTACAACTTGAATCCAATTAATAAATTGCATCAGATGCAGATTGAATCCCATCCAATCCAATTAAAATCCAAGTCCAGTTTTTTTTTTTTTGAGGAAAGGTAAAAGTATTTCATTAAACATACATATGTAAATGTATATAAAGTTCATAACTAATAAATTTAATATTTTACATTATATACATTTATAGTTTACGTATACATTAAAAGTGTTGACCAAAAAAATACAAGTTAAAAGAAATTACTTTTTTTAACTTTTTTGTTCTTTGTCATCTTAAACACAATAAGGTGGATGTGTATTAAATCCAAATCCAATCCAAGTCCAACATATTGGATTTTGGATCAGGTTCAGACTTCAGATCAACAAGATTTCATAATCAGAATGGATGCAAGTGTAGCTGTATCCAATCCAATTACAGCCCTACAAGTTTCCATATGGTGGCAATATTATTCATATTACAAACTTAATTTCCTCAGAACCATTACAGATCAAAGAAGAGTATTATAAAAATAACTTTTTTTGTTTTGTTTTTTTATGAACATAATTAAATTTCAAATCCATTGCCAAAGAAGCTACAACATAGAAAATCAAATAATGCTTTAAATAATGAAATGAATAAGGGCTACTATGATTGAAATATTCGCTTTTCATTAATGAAATCTTTTTTCAGTTGCTGATAAAAAAAGGCATGTTGAAATGGTATAAAAAATACTCTATCTCTATTAATCGGGTAAAATTGTTAGTTGTCATGTTAAAACTAAAATTGGATGAACCACCCTTGGACTTGCACCCTATAAGAGAAAAAATACAAAAGAAACTCAGTAATAAAAGCATTTCAAGAAGAGTTGTGAATTCTAAATTCTAAATTAAAGCATGAACCTGGAAGCTCAGAAATGCCATTAAGAAGGTCTGCATCTTTATTTATTGGTAAAATGTTTTCCATATTTCCTACCTTTTCTTTTTCCAACAAGCAGGGACAGGTCATACATTTATTATAACCATTAGTTCCACATTAAACACCAAACATAATAACATAAAAAACAGAACAGACATGCCAGGAGAAAGAGATCAACAAAATTGGAGACATGACGTACTCAGACTTGAAAGACACAAGACGCCTTCGAAGCTCATCTTCACGTGCTTCAACTTCCTGTAACTTTCTTTCTGCTGCATGGTGATAGCGTCTAGCCTCTGCTTGCAAAGATTCTGCTTCGTGCAGCTTTACTTCAGCATCAGCAAACTTCTTCTGGGCAGCTTCTACCATACTGCGTGCTTCAGCCATCTTACTCTCAGCTGCAACTTTTGTTTCAGCAGATTCCATTCGCATTTCATGTAAGGCCTTTTCAATCTATAGAAGAGTCGTGTTAAATATTAACTCAGAAATAGATTGAAAAGATATTATACATTTATACATACATTTAAGAAAAAAAGTATTTCCTTTTTAAGTAAAAGAAAAGGGAAGTAATACATGACATGCTTACATTTGCTATGCACTCTTTTTCAACTCCTAAAGCCTTTTTGAGACTTTCTTCTCGTTTCGCTGCTTCAGCTAAAGCAGATGAATGTGCCGCTTGATCTCGCTTACGCAATATTTCGAGCGACTCCACAGTCTCCTTAATTGTTTCATACTTGGATGTCCAATCCTTTCTTTCCAATATAAGAAGGCCCATATGGTGCTGGTAGTCAAATATCTACAATGAAACAGAAAATACAAGTGAGATCTAAGGAAGAATATCAAAAGACTCAGTATGGTGGCCATTCCTTTCAGTAGAGACAGCATAGTAGTCAGATACTCAGACCAATACAAAAATATCAGATTAGGAAGATTATTCTAAATCGATTAGGCCAAAGTTTTATTTTATTGATAGAAATCAAAGTTTTATTGATAGAGAGAATTGTAAATGGTACACTGATTATGCCTAATGCCCCTCCTGTCAGACTTAGGCTATCCCTAGCTACCTAACTCAATTTACATTTATTTGCTACATATTACCACATCAATTTTCAAGGGGAGTGTTTCCCCAGAACAGTTGATTCCTTTGTACTCCTTGTTTAGCCAAAACCTCCAGTAAGCTATTAGCAGATTTTTTAACCCAATTAAACATCATTCCTATTGACATCACTAGACTCCTTAATTCTCTTATGGTAGAAATGAGCATCAGATGAGCCACATGAGTCCTCATATGGTATAAATAAGTTGGGTCATGCAGGAGGATTCCCAAACAATGACCTTTCTGGTTCCTTTGCTTTTCAATATTAATAAACACTTAAACAGTTGATCAACAAACTTTGAACAAGGGAACATCATTCTTCTCCCCCACTAAAGGTGTGTTACACCCCTCCCACAGAGATTATCTGTGATCAAGCTAAAGCTTTGAATGGTGCTCTCTTGAAAATCCAGGTCTTCCAACTGTATGAGATGTTTTATACAATAACAATGAGATAGGGTTTGCTTTTGCATCACATCAAATGGTGGATTCTAAAAAGGTGGAAACTATCTCTTTGTTTTCTGTTTTACAGTATGCAGTAGACTATCTGATCCATCCCATGTAACTAAAGGAAACTATCTGATCAAAGAAGGTAATTGATAACAATAAAAGAAAAAAATAGGAAACTCCAACCTCCAAATAATCTCAAGTGCGGGGAACAGTACATAGCAATCAACTGAAATAGAGGAAAGAATACAATCAATTTCTTGAACTCTGGACCTGGTGCCCCACCCCCAACCTCCAACCAACCCCATTCTAGAGAAACTCTACCAAACCCCTCCCTAGCTAAGGAATCAACAAGGCCATTGACAGATCAAAGAATCCACCCAAACAAAATGTTTGGCCTAAAAGCAACCACTTTTTCCTCTCCAATAAAGTTTTTAGTATTCACTGCCCTTCCACTCTACAAGATACACACAGTTTAGCAGCTCCACAGCACTATCAATTCATTGCAGCTGGATAATAGAACTCAGACCTTTGGAGAAGAGAAAGGAGTTTCAATTTCAAATAACTGCCTCCTCTAATCACTTATCAGATCCAATTATACAAAATGTTAACAGAATTATCTCTAACATCACCACCCACACCAAAAGGTACCAGGTTGTCAATAGCACACCCATCAAAGTTGAGTTTCACAATGCCAATCAAGATTTTTTTTTTTTTGATCGGTACAATGCCAATGAAGATATTGATTCTTACTCTTTACATTCATCAATATTTTTTTATATGTTTCAACAATATTTTTTATCAATATCTTTATTTTTAACAATCCTTGCACTTCTTTCATTCCATGTAGTCCCAAGACTCAAACCTTTGTGCATCACCATAGGATTTTCCTCCCTCTTAAGCTGTGTTTGGTTTGAAAGAAAATTAGAGAGGAACAGAAAAATGAGGGAAAGTTTCAAGGGATTTCACAAAATCTGCAATTTTCCCTCAAGTTTCTATTTCTCACTTTCGCTTATTTTCTATCAAACCAAACATATCCTTAGTGATTAGGGAAAGTACATTAGAGCCAAAGAAATTCAATATATAAATAGGAGGTTTCCAAAGGGTAGCAAAAAGAGGGAAAGGGATTCCAATCATCTGATTCTAGGTTAAAGATAAAAATAGGTGGTTAGCATTCTCACCACTAAGCAGAAGCATGCATACATGCATGAAGGGAGATGCACCAAACTTTCCATATTCATTGGAGCATCTCAACAATATTTATTACCTTCTTCAAAGAAGCCTCCAGGCAAAATGCATTAACCTTTTTGTCAAATGATGCCAAAGATCAGAGGCCCTTGAAGATGATGTTTCCTTCTTCAAAGCAGCCTCCCAGTACCCTCTTCCCAACCCAATGCCCTTTGGATTGGACCTGCAACTTTGAAGGTGAAATAACATCTGGAGTGTCTAATGGCCAGGCCCTACTTAAGTACTTGATTTGTTTACAAGTGAGCATACCCATATACACACAAAAGGGGGAAGATGCTATGTGTTGTTTTAAGGATTAAACGGTGGTTGTGCTATAGAGTGCTTGAAAGGAAAGAAACGCAAGAATCTTTGAAAAAGGAAGTAGAAGTGTAGAGAACATAATACATCTTTGCTTAATAAGGGTGACACACAGGGTGAAAATTAAGGATTTTAGAGATGCTAAATACGATTCTATAATATGAGGATAGCATGTGCTAGCCAGCTTCTCCCCCTACAAAATGGTCAGACCTATAGCATGGGCAGCAGGGAGGATGATAGGAATCGATCAGCACCCTTGAAGACTTATTCTAGAAAGAAGGCCTTACAACAGGTCCTGATATGGCATAGTGATGGTACTTGGGATTTTGACTGAATTGAACACCAAGGGTATTTTTGTCATTTTATAATTTTTCTGTAGGGTCCAATAATAGGGTTTGATTGTCTAGTTATAGTTTGTTTATATTTAAAATTTCAGAGGCATTGCATAACTAGGACTAGAGTTATTGAGTCTTCTTTGAATTGAAATAGGATATGACAGCTTAGTTTGAGTCCTAGGATTATTGAGTCTAACAGTTTGACTCCTAGGATTATTACGAGTTTAGAGTCTATAAATATGTATGGACGTTTTACACAAAGGGAATGAAGCTTATGGAGTTTTCTTCAGCTTATGCTAGCTATGGTGAGTGATTCCCATGCCCTAGAGTGATTCTAGGCATCCTGTGAGTGATTCCAGGTATTTTCTCTCTTCTTTCTATCCCTATTTTCTCTCTTATTCCTTAAAGAAGCCATTACAGCCATCAACATCCATAAAACTCTGATCAAGAAGACCATTCAACATTCTCTAAGGACTAGAACTGAGCTGGTCCTACATCAGAGGACCTCAACAAGTACACATAAAGTTGAATTTTGATGGCTGTTTCCACAGGAACCCAGGTTAATCTGGACTGGGGAGAGTATACAGATATGACAATGGAACATATTGGCAAGAAGCTAAGGTACATATCATTCATCAAAAAAAAAGAAAAGAAAAGAAGCTAATCTACACAGGACCAGCAGAGTTTGGGAACTCACTTAGAGCTGAACTGTTAGCCCTCCTTAATGGACTGAGACTTGCAAAAAAAAACAGAAACAAAGAGCAGAGAGTTGTGGAAGGAGATTTTCAAGTGGTGATAATGATAAATCTCTTAATCCTCTGGTTCAGAATCTGCTACAGAGAGCTATACAGTAACGGGAAATAAAAGCAAGAGAAGAGTAGAGAGAGAAGAGGAGGGAGAGAATTAGGGTAAACTTCCCATACTCATATCTCCCTCAACAGCTTATTTATACTCTTCCTTACATTCAGTTTCTCGAGCCTGCGGGAGCATGTGCTCTGTAACTAACTGCTGGTGACGTGGCTTTCCTGGTGTAGACATACTTGATGGGAGGTTTGTAGACTTCGACTTCAGCTGGCTGTGCTGGGCTTGCGTCCTGGGCCTGCCTTGCTTGAATCTGGGTTCATAACATGAATGCTGGCTTTAATCAAAGGCTAAAGGACCTTAGAGTCTAAGAAATCAAATAAGAGAAGTGATGGCAATATCTAATATCTACCAATCTGAACTACTTGTTCAGTTGGATACCCAGGTCTGCCAACAGCTTAGCCAGAATGGTGGTGATTGGTGAACAAGAGTGAACAAGAATGGGCTACACTGGGGCCAGGGGCATCAGTTGTAACCTGAGCTAGTAGGCCTTTGACACTGTCAACTTATGGCTGTATTGACCATGAGTCACTATGAGTGTAGGGCATTTGTATCCCCCCCCCCAATTCTTGAAATAAAATTAATTGTGAACTATCAAAAACAATTCATTAGGCCCAACCTGGCCCAGGGGTGGACTGAGTAGGGACAAACGTCAGGGATGAGCCAGCTGACCTATGTTCATACCCCCATTAAAACATGGCCCAGGCACAGCCTAGGACAGTCCATGATCACCCCTTGCCCCCCCCCCCAACCCATTGCTTGTCTTATACATCAATTTTGAGCAGTGCTAAGTATACAAATTTCGTTTTACTGTTGTACCAGTCAATCATAATGGCATCTTACAGTTACAAAACAGATCTGGAACATAATGTGGGTGACCCATGTAGACTGAGTGACTGACAGAATATTCCAAATTTCCATATCTGTGCCATGCGATGTCACTTATATGAGATTTGAAAAAATTAGCCTGTACCCTAAAGAAACTCTAAAATATGAAAACAAAGACCATATACTGGAACTGATTTTTCAAACCCTAGCTTTCATTCAACAGTCAGTAAGATGGCCAGCAAGGAATTATTTTTATTGTTAACTTCCAGCCATAAATTGCTTCAGAAGAGTTACATTGACTGCAATAATAAAAGTTAAAAGTTTGTCAGGTATGATGTGTCATGTGTGCTCTAGGGACTCTGTCTTGTTTCAGGAAGATGTGGGGTTGGAAACTCTCCTCTTAAGCATAGTTGTCAAGGTAATTCCTAAGCAGGTGCCTAGGTGACGCCTAGGCGAGAAGGCACCCTTGGAGGCTTGCCTTGCCTAATCGCCAAGCAGTTTTGAACAATGTGTTATAAAATACTTTTATATTCTTAATTTTTTGTGGTTATAATTATAAAATAGACATTATTAAACTAAAATATTCATTTTGTGTGTTTATATACTAATTTCTTTTTATTATTTTCTTATTTATTATGGTTTAATCAACACAAGCATTGCTAAATGCCGTATTGAACCCTCAAAGACTTCAAAACCTGAACCAATAAGTAAGGAAGAACTTAAAATGTTGTCTAATCAACACATTTTCTTCTTCCACCTTTTCTTTTCTTCTTTCCCATAACAAAAATATGGGTTCAGCCCCTATATTTTTTGAATTTTCTTTTCTTTCTTCGTATCCTTCTCATGAATATGTTGGAATATGTTGATTTTCTATACTTCAACATGAAGTTTATACTTTTCTTATGAAAATTATGGATAATTATTAAAGAAATATGTTTATGGAACCTAGGGAACTACCCTAGGATATATGTTTTTTACTTAAAAAAATCCATTGCCTAGGCAATGCCTAGGCGACTAGGCAACAAGGCGCCCCACTGTCACCTAGCCTTGCCTTGGCGCCTTGAAAACTACGCTCTTAAGGACCTCTTCCCTGCTTTGTATTCCATCTCTTTGTATGAAAATAAGCCCATCTAAAGATTCCTCTCACCCCCTTGCTTTCTATGGGTTTTAATTGGAACTTTGGCTTTCTGAGGGATTTGAGAGAAGGTAAAGCAGTTGCAGACCTTTTACATCTCCTTGAGAAAGTGTGTCTGGACCCCTCTAAATCTGATAGGAGTGTTTGGACTCCCCATCCTAAGAGTCTCTTCTTGTGTACCTCTTTCTTCAACTTTTTTTTGCTCTTCTTTTCATCCTTAGATTTTCCCTTCCTCTGAAATTTGGTGCAGGATTGTCCCCCCAAAATTAATGCTTTTTGTCAAAAAGTTTTTTTATGGGAAGATTAATACTATGTATGATCTACAAAAAAAGAAGAGATTCTCTTTGTATATCACCAAAACTGGTGTATTCTTTGCAAATCCAATGGTGAGAGTTGTTACAAACTAATTTGCTGCCCATTTGTTGCAGGCATTTGAGAATGGTTTTTTTTCTTTGTTTAAGTATAAAAGTTACTTGCCTTTGGAGGTGAATAGTTTGTTTGATCCAACTAGATTTTTGTGGACTAGAATAAGAAGAAGAGTCTTGTGGAGACATACAAGGACAGCATTAACATGGACTATTTGGGAAGAAAGGAATGCTAGGTTCTTTCTTGAGAAGGAAGGGACTGAAGCAACGTTGAAGGAGTGTATAATGACTAGGGAGATATAAACTGGGTTAAATTAGAATGATGGCTATTTTATAACATTTCTTTTTTTATGATATATGGAGGAATTGGGGTGAAGTGTCAAAAAGCTCCTCAAAAAGGAAACAGGAACTTTCTAGATAATCACCTCCTAACAAAGATTCCATCAAACTTAATTTTGACAGAAGCAGAAAGGCAATTTGGGTCCTTCTAGGATAGGGGGTGTATTTGGAGATGAGAAAGGTAACGTTGTGGCTTTATTCTCGGGACCAATGGATGTGGGGGACTCTATAAGGGTTGAATTCCAAGTTGTAATTCAAGGGGTGCAGATAGCAAAAGATTTGAAAATGGACAAATTGTTTATTGAGGGGGACTCTAAGCTGGTAATAGGATGGATAAAGAAGCCAAACTCTGTAGTATGGGTTTATAGAGATGGAATTAAGAAGTTTAAATCATTAACCAGCAGCATGACATTGAGGATTCAATGGGTTAGAAGATCAATTAATAGGATGGGTGATTCTTTAGCCAAGCAAGGGATTAAGATTAATAGGGATCATTTACATTGAACTCGATTGTAATTTATATTCTATGATTATATTTATGTGAGAGGCTGCATCTCGCTCCTCTCCTTGGGTAGCTTGTAATGCTTGTACATATTTTTTTGATAGTTTATAACGCTTGTATATATTGATGTTTTCTAATGAAAGTTAAAGTCACTTATCGAATTAATAATAAAAACAACAACAATAAAGTTAAAAGTTTTAAAAGACCTATTCTCATTAGTGAATGGCCATGACAAGGACCCACAGCTTCTAGTTGACTGTTACATAGTACAGAATTATCCAAGTTTACATGTTCCCTGGATACAAGCTTCCTTTCCTATTCCCCCAGCTAGACCATTGGTTAGGATGTTGGGTGGCCTTGGCTCTCATTTACAATGTTTTATACATCACAATAACTAAAATCAACATTACCTTAAAACATGACTAGCAAAAACCTTGGCAACTTGAGTGGCATAAAAGGGTGAGTTAACATAGTGAATCAAGCACCTCATCTGACCAGGAAAGCTAAAAAGAAGACAGCTAACCAAATATGTAAAAGACCATTTTTTTTTTCATTGGCCAATCAAGCAACTTAGCAATATGTAAAAGAAATTTGACACAAGTGGTGATAAAAAAAACAAAGGAAATTAGACATAAGAAGAGAAGAATTATCTTAGATGAGATAAACCAGCTAACCCAACAAAAGAAACTCCTGATCCCCCAAGGCAGGCCCCTAATACAACTATGCACTATTAAGTCCTCTAGGAAGAGAATGTGCTAGAGAGTTAGAATTCATCTTCCCTATTAACCCCCATGATACAACTCTTCCCTATTAACAACTCAGTGATTATTAGGTGTTGTGCAAGAGAAGGGTACCCTATCCCACCATTGTACTCTTATCACTAAAATATAAGTGAAAGCGGGATTTAATTGGTCCTATTGTTTGGTACAAATCCCTACATTTAGTCAACCTACATTCATATGAATAGATAGTGATGTACATATCAAGACTGATGGAATATATTGTTCCTTTTCACGGTTCCAGACCAAATCAAAGAATAGGTTTAACAGTTCGTGAAGATGCATCTTAATAAGGGTTTTCAAGTCATAAATGTTGTCCCAAATCAGCCAATTTTCCATTAATGCAACCGAAGAAAGAATACTGGTGCAAGTCCAGGCAAAACCAAGTAGAAGAAACGGTCGAATGCTTGCATGAATAGGAGAAAAGACAATGAAAATCAACGAAACATGTATAATATGTGACAAACCTCGGCTTCGAGCTTCGCAATATAAGCAATGAGAGCTGCTTTGTCCCTCCGTTTGATTGACTCTTCATCGAAACCAGCTTCACGAAGGCGCCTCCATATGGTTTCGTCGCCGAGAGGACTTCCGTTGTTTCGCTGAACAGGAGTCGAAGCTTCTAAAACCCTAGAAGCAGGCGATCCAGCTTTACTAGAACTTAAAGTGATCCCCAGTCGCTCTTGCTGGGGACTCACCATCTCTTCGATTAAAAGAAACCCTAGAACAGTTTCTTTGATCTCTTGTTCTGCCTTTCTTCTTCCTCGTTCTTCTTTTCTGTTATTGAGCTATTGATCTCGTTCTGGCCTGGCAACTCTCAGTCGCTCAGTTCCTGGTAAGTGCGTTGTTGAGTGGAAATGTGGCTTTAACTTGTAAAAAGACAGGACCGAGTTGGCAACTCCGCCAATGAAATATGAATGGGAAAATGGAATCGTGTTCCACTTTATACTTTCCCGAAAGGAGAACCAAACCGGGAGCTCTCTGTACATGTAAAGTTTTTTGTGATGTGTGTGATCTTTGAAAGGAACAAAAAAAGAAAATTAGTATTTGAAAGAGAGAGAGGGAGAAAAACTTAGCGTAGCGCTGCTCCCTGCTGATTCCAAAATCCAAATGAATCTCGATCTGTGAAATGAGTCTCGATCTTGCAAGACTGATTACAGTTGTTGCGTTATGATCCGTCAGATTTCTGTTAATATTCCAATCGGACATTAGCTGAAAGCCACTTAAATTCAACTACCACATTAAATCAAAAGCCAACACTGGGACTATGTGGCGGTGATACTTCTGGTTCACGATCCTTTACCATGACTATTAACACGAGTTTGGATTCGCTGATCACAACATCAGGAATGGGCCACACACCATACACAAAGTGACACGTAGATGGTCCTTTACTTTGCGCCTATTACCACTTTCGTACCTTGATTTTAAAATGCGCTAATTCAGTACTTAAATTTTCAAAACATGTCAATCTAGTACGTGTTAACCAGCCATTAAGTGATATTTGAAAAGACACAAATGCCTTTCAAATGTTATTTAATTCTCTTGATCAATCATTCAAACATTGATGAAAAAAAATGAAAAATCACAAATTTTTCTTTTTGTCAACCATTCAAACATTGATAAAAAATGAACATTCTCAAATTTTTCTCTTTTCTATTCAATAAAGTTGGGGTCATGTCTTAATGGGTATTCAAGAAGAGGCAATAATTTGATATTGTTCATCTTTTATCAATGTTTGGATGGTTGATAAAAAGAATTAGAAGACACTTAAAGGGCATTTGTGTCATTTCAAATGCCACTTAATGGCAGGTTAATAGATTGATTAAAGGTGAGTATTAGATTGACACCTTTCCAAAGTTTGGGTATTGAATTGTCATATTCTAAAGTTTAGGAACTAAAGTGGCACTAGGCCTAAACTATAGGGTACTAATCTGGAATCTTCCCTTCTTATTACTAATAAACAATGGGGTTTTTATTCAGTCCACCTCAACAAATCGTACAATTGGGGTAGGTGTCGGAATTGATGTCGATACATGGACGAGAAATGATGTTATTAGTGGGGGTATTTGAAATTTTGAGTTGTAGATCTGCAATGGAATTTAGAATTCTGAGGTGGAGTGCAATATAGTTTTTACATAAACATGAAAATGAATGATATTGCATCTGTCAATTTCAAATAACATAATAATAATTTTAATATTCTTATGAGAAATTCTTAATAAATAGGCTTAAATCTTATATTTCATTTTATTTTCATAAAATACTTTATATCTATCATATTTATTTTTATTTAATATAAAATATATAATCCACGGCCTGATGATTGGATCAAAAGGATTAATGTTCAACTAACCAAGTTGCAGGGTTATTAACATGCCAGCAATCCCTCATGAATAGGTCAAAATTGATGATATAAACACCCTATATAAGATGCAACTTGGGTGAGTTTGGGTTGAGCAATTATTGAATCAAGGTTCTAAATATTGATAATACCTATGTCTGATAATATCGACGGTCTATAACGTTGGGCACCTTATTTTTAGTTTTTTTTTTTTCAAACCTGTTCAAGGAGCCAATATAAAGCATATCTACCCGTTGAAATAGGTCAAACCCCAAAATAATGTTTCTAGTAGCACATTGGTGGGTCACCAAAACGATACAATACATATTGACTAAAACGGGTTGATCTTTCATTGAAATTTCAATGGACCCAATCCAATAACCCAGACATGCAATGTAAAATTTTCAAATCAAGTAACCTAGATATATCAATTTTGCAAGAGTTCTAATTGGGGCACATTCAATTTTGATAAAGAGGACACGTCTATTATAGGAAGGCAAGTGATACCCCTATGAGGACAGATAAATAGATAGATAGATACTTAGGTGGTGTTTGATAAATCTAAAATCTGAAATTTGAAAAGTTTAAAAGATATTGAAAGGGTTTGAAACCTGAAAAGAAACATAGTTGTTTTTGGACTTTTTAGAGGCTCTAAATAAAGAAGGTTGTTTGTTTTGGATCAAACCTTTAGCATATGAAATTCACTGATTTTACTATTTTACCCCTAAATTAGACTATTCAATTGCAGCGGCAAGAGAAGAAGAAGAAGAAGAAAAGAGAGAGAGAAGGTTGGAACTCACCGCCGCCAGTTCGTCGGAGGAGTTGCAGCAGCGAGAGTTGCAACGACGAGAAAATAAGAAGAAGAAGAAGAAATGATAGATAGACAAATAGATAGAAGGCCAGAACTCGTTGCTGCTAGTTTGTCGGAGGAGTTGCAATGGCGAGAGAAGAAGAAGAAAGGAGAGAGAGAGAGGAGGTCAGAACTCGGCGCCGCTAGTTCGTTGGAGGAGTTTGTAGCGACGAGAGTTGTAGTGGTGAGAGAAGAAGAAGAAGAAGAAGAAGAAGAAGAAGAAGAAAGGAGAGAGATTGAGAAAAGGGAGAGGGGGAGAGAAGGAGAGAGGCGAGAGAAAGGGATAGATAGAAGGCTAGGACTCGTTGCTGCTAGTTTGTCGGAGGAGTTGCAACGGCGAGAGAAGAAGAAGAAAAGAGAGAGAGAGAAGGTTTGAACTCGCCGCCGCTAGTTCGTCGGAGGAGTTGTAGCGACGAGAGTTGTAGTGGTGAGAGAAGAAGAAGAAGAAAGGAAAGAGATAGAGAAAGGGAGAGAGGGAGAGAAGGAGAGAAGGAGAGAAGGAGAGAACGAGAGAACGAGAGAAGGAGAGAGGCGAGAATTCAAGGGTATTTTGGACTTTCGGCCAGGTCTAAAACGCATCTGAACGCATTTTAGCGCTTGACCCATGTCTTATTATTTCAGATCTGATAATGATTTTTAGACCCAAATTCAAATACACTTTCAAACACCTCTACATTTGAAAAGCAACATTTTCAAACTTTCAAATGTTTAAAAAATATTATCAAATGCCACCTTAGCCTTGCAAGATAATCAATGTCTTAATTCATTGATTAGATTTAAATGCTAAAATATATAACCCGTTGTCGTTTATAAATATTGGCATCCCATGATATGTTGCCACAAAGAGGGTTTATTTTGTGGTTCATTTTTTGAACCATTATATATAAACATGGATTTTGTGGTTTATGCAAACATATGATTTCACTATTCACTTTTTATTGCACGGACATTTTCAAGTATCAACATTATGAAGGGAGCCGTATTAATGGTTGATCCACATCATGTAACTGACATATCATGCTTACATGAGCAAAATTATGTTATTTGCTTGATAAAGCTATAAAAAGTTGAATTAAATTTGCTGATTCTAGAACCATGATGGCATATGAACATACAAAACACAAATTACATTCATGAATTAGATGAAACACAAATAAACACCCTCTAAATTGTGAGGTTGATATAATTTATAAAAACGGACCAGAAAAGTCCATAGTGGGGGTTAAAAGACTAGGCCCCACTATTATAAACGCGAGAACCTTTGATTTGAAACATGCTTCTCCCTTTATTTTTTCGAAGGAGGGAGGGGGGACCATTATCCATTTGAACCTTACTAAATACTATGGTATACTTTGACCTAATCCCAATCAATAGAGGTCATTTAGTAGTACAACAGAGGTGTAAATCGAGTACCTGATTCGAAGATTTTACACTTGAATGTTGGGTTTTTGGGTTCGGTTCATATAAATTTTAACAAAATTCTGATTCAATTCACCCAAATTATATCCGTATTTAAACGGGAGGTGCAATTTTTTCAGGTTAAGGTTGGATTTTTGTCAAAATTCTAATGGGCCCAATTTGAAGCCTGAACCTGAACCTGAAGCAGTGTAACTCGGGCCAATCTGACTTGTATCCCTATTTTTAAACATATTGTTGAATTTGTCTTTTTATGTACATTTTTTTCCTAGGGTTTAAAAAACGAAAAAAAGAAAAAGCCCATGCACTTGCACGGCTCTTACATATGAAACATGAGTGAATTTATCCATAAACCATGGGGTTATGATCATTTAGCTATGTAAGCTAGTCTCAACAAACAATAACTATAACAACAACAAAAAGAAAAAGAGGGGGAAAACCATAACCAAATGAAGCATGGACTTGGCCATGAACCGATGATATCCTAAACCAACATTAGTAAAGAATGCAGTTGTTTAAAATTTGTCAAAAACAAAATAGCCAATAGTAATTAGTAGCAATTTAAATTCAAACCCAGTTTTGTTAAAAAATATTTAAAAATGGAATTATTTTTGTCTCCGGAGCTTTGTCAGGGTCAAATGGATGAACATGCGACATCATAAATTGTGTAATAAATAAATAATTAATTAATAAAAATTAAAAAATTAAAAAATCTGAACATATTTATAATATTATATATTCAACATGCTGAACAAAATTAAGCGTAATAAACATTGCCATCGACGATAAAATGGCTAAAAGTAAAGAAAATAAATTAATCATAAAAATCCATGACTTGTTGACTGACTATGGTTTAGGGATGAATCGAGCTTGAAAACATGACCAGGTTGCAAGCGAACCAGTTTGAAAGACAGCTTCAATCATCACAAGTTGAAAACATTGTTTATTTAGGGTGAATGAGCAAAGAACATATTACTATAATCATGGAGCTATGACCAATACAAAGTACTAAAAATCCATTTCAAAACTGAGTGAGGTTTGATAATCTCAATTGAGGTTCATCAATCAACAAACGTTCATTATCATCATGATGGTTGGCTACATGAATTATGTTTCAACTTTGTTTGTTTAGTGTCTCTCGTGTTCATTGTGAAATTTGTAAGCATCTAAATAATTTCCTACTGCTTCAACCCATGCCCTTTTTCGTTTTGCCCCTAATCCTTTAGGCCCCTTGCACCATATTGGTGCTATAGATGGTCTCCTTTGCATCAAACAATAGTTACTAATTGATTAAAAACAATTCATTTTCCCACTAATTGTTTCCATAATTAGAGAATGACCCTTAGTACTTTTCTTTTTTTTTTTTTTTGAAGTCTAATGACGCACACACACACAAAAAAAAAAGATTACATTTATTCCTCTACAACAAATTTAATGAAATCAGGAACCAATGATTAAGTCATGGAGCAGCCTTGCCTAAGAGCAAAGTGGGCAACCCATGGGCAGCCCTATGTTAAACAGTGTATGTATATATACATTTATTATAAATGAATAAAAGTACATTATTGTTTCATATTGATATTGGTATGTTTCTGTGAAATTA